GGCCATCAAAGAGGCGTCTGCAGCCCTGTGATATTACAGCATTCTTTTTTTTTTTTTTTTTTAACGTTTATTTATTTTTGAGACAGAGAGAGACAGAGCATGAACAGGGGAGGGGCAGAGAGAGAGGGAGGCACAGAATCCGAAACAGGCTCCAGGCTCTGAGCGGTCAACACAGAGCCCGACGCGGGGCTCGAACTCACGGACCGTGAGATCGTGACCTGAGCCGAAGTCGGATGCTCAACCGACTGAGCCCCCCAGGCGCCCCTCTTACAGCATTCTTGACAAGGGTCGAGATATGGATACAACCTAAGTGTCCATCAGCGAAGGAATGGACAACAACGTGCACACGCACATACGCATACATACACTGGGATATCATTCCACCACGAGAAAGGAAACCCTGACACTCATGACATCGTGGATGGACCGTGATGGCATCACACGAACTGAACTAAGCCAAGGGGAAAAACTACATGGTGTCACTTCCGTGTGCAACCAAACAATACAAGTCAAGCTCACAGAAACAGAGAACGGACGGACACCTGGGGGGCCCAGGCGGTGAAGCGGTCGACTTCGGCTCAGGTCATGATCTCCCAGCTCCTGAGTTCAAGCCCCGCGCCGGGCTCTGTGCTGACAGCCTGGAGCCTGCTTCGGATTCTGTCTTCCTCTCTCTCTGCCCCTCCCCTGCTTGCACTCTGTCTCTCGGTCTCTCTCTCTCTCTGACTCTCTCTCAAAAATAAATAAACATTTAAAAAATTTAAAAAAAGAAAAAAGAAACAGAAAAGAGACAAGTGGTTGCCACAGCGGGGGAGGGGACAATAGAGAGGTTGTTAAAAGGGCACAAGGGGCGCCTGGGTGGCCCGGTCGGTTAAGCATCCGACTTCGGCTCAGGTCATGATCTCACGGTCCGTGAGTTCGAGCCCCGCGTCGGGCTCTGTGCTGACAGCCTGGAGCCTGCTTCGGATTCTGTGTCTCCCTCTCTCTCTGCCCCTCCCCCGTTCATGCTCTGTCTCTCTCTGCCTCAAAAATAAATAAACATTAAAAAAAATTTTTTTTTTTAAATAAAAAATTAAAGAAAAAAAGGGCACAAACTTTCAGCTAGAAGATGAATAAGGACTCAGGATCTAATGCACAACATGAGGACTACAGCTGATAATACTGTGTCACATAACTGAAATTTGCTAAGACAGAGAACTCAAATGTTCTCACACACATACGCACAAACACACACAAGATAAATGTTGGAGGTGATGGGTGCGTTAATTAACTGGATGGGAGAAACTCTTTCACAGTGTACACATATATCAAATCATCACAGTGTATCCTTTAAACGTCTTACCATTTTAGGGCGCCTGGATGGCTCAGTTAGTTGAGCGTTGACTCTTGGTTTCGGCTCAGCTCGTGATCCCAAGGTTGTGGGTTCGAGTTCCGAACGGGGCTCTGCGCTGACAGTGTGGAGACTGCTTGGAATTCTCTTTGTTTCTCCCTCTTCCCCTCTACGTTGCTCCTACTCTCTCTAAAATTAAACAAAGAAAAATTTTTTAAAAATAAATATCTTACCATCTTTTTTGTCAATCATACTTTAATAAAGCTGAAAAAAATAAAGTAAAATAAAATAAAATACCAGCCAACACTAAACAACTCCTTAAAAAAAAAAAAAAAACTTCTAGAGACAAAAACTACATTATCTGAAACAAAAATTAGGTCAGATAGAGTCAATGGCAAAGTAGATATTGCAAAAGAAAAGGTTAGTGAATTTGAGACATAGCAATAGAAGCTACTCAAAACTAAACAGAAAGAGAAAAAAAAAAGAATTTAAAGAAATAAAATCCTCGGTGAGCTGTGGGCCAATGTCAAGCAGCCTCATATACATGTAATGGGAATCCCCCAAGGGTACGAGGCATAGGGGCATAAAACAATATTTGAAGAAACAGTGGTTGAAATTTTTCCAAATTGCATGGAAACTGTAAAGCCACAGATACGAGAAGCCCCATAAACCCCAGCACTTGCAACATGAAGAAAGCCATTTCAAGGCACATCATATCTATGCTGAAAACTGCTGATAAAAAATTGGGAAAAAAAAAAAATGAACCCCAACCACAGCCTTCCACCGTTTACAAAAATTAACTCAAAATGGATTGATTCAAATGTAAAATGTAAAACTATGAAATTATGAGGAAAAAACAACACAGGAGAAAATCTTGAAGATGTTCAACTAGGAAGAGTGCTTAGATCTGATGTTAATAATATGATCCGTAAAAAGGAAAACTTGACCAATTAGACCTCTTAAAAATTAAAAATGTTTGCTCTGAGAGAGAACCTGTTGAGAAAACAAAAAGACAGATTACAGACTGGAACAAAATCTTTGCAAACCACCCATCTACCAAAGGACTCGGTGTCTAGAATATATAAAGAACTCTCGGGGCGCCTGGGTGGCGCAGTCGGTTAAGCGTCCGACTTCAGCCAGGTCACGATCTCGCGGTCCGTGAGTTCGAGCCCCGCGTCAGGCTCTGGACTGATGGCTCAGAGCCTGGAGCCTGTTTCCGATTCTGTGTCTCCCTCTCTCTCTCTGCCCCTCCCCCGTTCATGCTCTGTCTCTCTCTGTCCCAAAAATAAATAAAAAACGTTGAAAAAAAATTAAAAAAAAAAAAAAGAACTCTCAAAACTCAATAGCAGAAAAGCACACAATACGGTTAGAAAGTTGGTTAAGGACATGTCAATGAAGTGAATATGCAGGTGGAAAATAACCAAATGACCCAATGTCAAAAATCAGCAACCAGGGAAATGCACGTTAAAGCCACAAAACAAAAAATCTCAGTGCTGGCAAGAATGTGGAAAGACTGGATCACCCAGAGATTGCTGGGAGGAATATAAAAGGCTACAGCCACTCTGGAAAATAATTTGGCATTTTCTTCTCAAACTAAAAATGCACTTACCATGCAACCCAGCCTTAGCACTGTTGGGTATTTATCCCAGGCAAATCAAAACCTGCATACACTCAAAAACCTATACGTGAACGTCCATAGCAACTTTATTTGTAATAGCCAAAAACTAGACTCAACACAAATGTCCTTCAATGTATAAATAATTAAATACATTGTGGGACATCCACACCAAGGAATACTACGGAGAGATCAAAAGGCACAAATTCTTGGTACAATGAGATCTTGGGCTGGCCTCCAGGGAAAGCAAAAAGCTTTATATTGCACAATACCATGTAAACGATTCCATTTACATAACATTCCTGAGATAACTAGAATACGAAATGGACAACAGATTAGTGGTTGACCCAAACCCCTAACACCACATATCTTCGAAACCCCCTTTCTCTCACACGCGAGTTAATGTTCACAGTTTTATTGTCTCTTTCTGCACGTCAGTCACCATTGTTTGCAAGCCTTCTGATGCTACTAAATACGGAGCAAGGACCCTTACTCGGAGCTCTTGTCTCCTCCCGGTCATTAGCCTCTCTCATATTCAATTCTGCATCTTCTCCCTTGCTGGACAAGAGAGAACTCCAGACTCAAAGTCTGTGACATGGAACTATTCTGAATGATACTGTAACGGTGGATACATGTCATTATAATCTGTTAAAACCCATAGAATGAACATTGTGTGTCAACTACACTCAAGTAAAAAAAAAAAAGAAAAAGAAAAAAACCAACATAGAACGTAGAGCATCAGGAGCAAATCTTAGGGATGCTGTCGATGGGTGATAACAACGTGTCAACACGGGTGGACAGGTCGGAACGAATGCACCATCTGGTGTGGGGTGCTGGCGGTGGGGGAGGCTGTGCCTGTGTGGGGTAAGGGCTGCAGCAGAACGCTCTGTCCTTACCGCTCAATTTTGCTGTGAACCTAAAACTGCTCTACAAAATAAAGACTATTTGAAAAGACAAAGGGGGCGAAGTATGGATCCACGCGACAACACGATGAACCTTGAAAGCACCACACGGAGTAAAAGAAGCCGGTCCCGAAGGACCACATACGATATGATTTCATGGACATGGGATGTCCACAGTAAGTAAATAAGAGAGACCAAACGTGGATCATTAGTGGGTAAGAGCCACCAGGGGAGGAGGAAAACGGGGAATGACTATTAACCGGCAAAACACAGTTTCTTCCGGGTTGAATGTTCTACATTTAAGAGAGCAGTTGGGGCGCCTGGGTGGCACAGTCGGTGAAGCGTCCGACTTCAGCTCAGGTCACGATCTCGCGGTCCGTGAGTTCGAGCCCCGCGTCAGGCTCTGGGCTGACGGCTCGGAGCCTGGAGCCTGTTTCCGATTCTGTGTCTCCCTCTCTCTCTGCCCCTCCCCCGTTCATGCTCTGTCCTTCTCTGTCCCAAAAATAAAAATAAAAAATAAAAAAATAAAAAAAAAAAGAGAGCAGTGCTGGTGCACAGCTCCGTGAATGTACTAGAAACCACTGAACTGTACACGTAAGTGGGTGAATTTTATGGTATGTTCACTAACATCTTGAGAAATGTTTTAAAAATTAAAAACTATGAAAACCGAAAGAAGAAATGATTTATATGGTTATTCTGGAAGGCACATACGTGCAAGGAAAAGTATACGGCCAAAAACAGACATATACGTGAATTCGTGGCATCTCTTTTACTTGTGGTCTCGAGTTGGACATGGGACCAGGACAGCAGGAGCCCCTTCTGTGCGGACATTGTTCCATGGAACACTGGCATGATGATCTCCCCACGGAAGGAAAGGGGTAAGAGTCGTACTGGTTATGAAAACGTCTACTCTCCAAAACGTATAATGACTCAGAGGTAAGTCTGTAGTACACATCTTTTGTTTAAAACGTACAGTGATGGGGGCCCCTGGGTGGCTCAGTCGGTGAAACATCCGACTTCAGCTCAGGTCATGATCTTGTTGTTCGTGAGTTCAAGCCCCACGTCGGGCTCTGTGCAGACAGCCCAGAGCCTGGAGCCTGCTTCGGATTCTGTGTCTCCCTCTCTCTCTGCCTTTCCCCCGTGCATGCCCTCTCAAAAATAAATTGAACATTTAAACAAAGATCCTTCTGTGCATTTATGGAAGCCCAGCTCCACCCCACCCACCCCACCTCCTCGGCAACAACACTCAAAATTCAGTAATTCCAAGAACGACGGCACCAACAGATCCATTTTGCTGTGCGCACAGAGTCCTACCAGAGATCCGAGTTGTGTGATTTCTGTTTTTTATGAGAGCAGTGGCCCCGTGCTGTGGTCTGGGTGAGAACAGGAAAACGGGTGGGTGCCACTGAGGGCCCCCATCTGTAAGTCTGGCTTCGGGTAACACGGACACACGAGCTTGACCTTCACTTCCTGGAGACCAGAAGTTCATAGTCGCGGGCTGTGTTGGCAGGTCCGTGAGGTCATCCAGGGTCAGCCTTCTGCCGTGGTCCTTGGCGTGTGGCCCCCGTCCTCGGGCTGACATGGTGGCTGCTACAGACCTGGAATGTGGTCAGCAGCCGCGGGAAGGGGAAAGGGCAAAGGGAGGTGCTCTGACTGTTCCGGGAGGTAAGGACGGAGCTGCCCCGAGCAGGGAGAGGGCGATGGCCGGCAGGTCAGGCGCCCGGCTGTTTGGAGCCAGAAAGACAGTGGATGCAGGAACCGATCCCGGGATAACACGCGTGCTGTCCTGACCCTCGAGGGCACAAAAGGGCTGATGTCCGGAGCTGAAACACCTGGGTTTAAAGACCAACGACCTTTCTTAAAGACCAACGGCTGCAGAGGAGTTCACTGCTGTGTTTAGGTCCCACCCTCCAGGGACCTCTCCCCACGAGGACCGAACTCGGCACCAGGGACTCTGAACATCTTGCACGTTCCCCAAGGCTGCTTAGCTGCCCAGGGTTCTTGAACTCACGAACAGCGAGATCACGACCGGAGCCAAAGTCGGACGTTCAGCCGACTAAACCACCCAGGCGCCCCAGAAATATCTTCTGTTTACCGAGGCTGACGGCGGGGGGGGGGGGGGGGGGGTAAGAGGGAAGAGGGGCATGAGAATGCAAAGCGGAGAGACAGGTGACAGGTTCACGGTGAGCTGAGTGAAGGGCACGGTCAAGCGGGGGCAGGAAACACGGGTATCGGACAGCGAGAAGCACAGAGAAGGTGGCCGCTTTCATCAGACCCGGCTCTCCTGCCGGAGGCAGGCCACCCCCACCCGAGCCCTGCTCCGAGTTGGAACCTGGGAGAATCTGCCTCGCTCGCCCGGTGAAAGGTGCTCCTGGGGCCTCACACCTGCGAGGCGGCAGGGACCTGAGCGCGGGCTTGGCTCTCCACCTGGAGCCCCTCGGAGGAGGGCAGCCTGGCAGGGGCTGCTGCCTTCCCTCCTGTGCCCCGAGGAGCTACCACAAGCTCCAGGACCAGCCTCCCCTCAGCAGCGGGCCGGTGAGTGAGTGCCAGGTGCACGGTGCTCCCTCAAAACGCATGAAGGGACTAAAGGTGCCTGAATGCGGAACAAGGGGGGCAGGAGCCCCGGAGGGAACATCCTGCGCTTCTGGACGTCCTGCCTTAGCCGGTACTTCAGCTACAATGTCAAGTAATTCACCCCTTCTGTGCACAACAGAACTCAGAGGGAACTAAAGCTATAAGATTAAAAAAGCCTCTCTTCCCCCCCCCCCCCACAACACCTGCCGGCAGGCCCTATACGGGGCTGGTGCCTCAGTACATACATATTCTGTCCAGATACCTTCTGTTGAATGTATTTGCAAGAATGTAACTTATAAACAATTTCATTAACAATAACTCACTTATAAAGTACATCCTACATTAAAATTACCAGCAAGGGCCAGGGTTGGGCAGGTGGGGGAGGAGGGTGGGCCCTTCCCCGGGAGCAGTTCCTGGGATGGCCACCAGGTGTCAGAGCCACCAACAATGCTCCCAGAGCCCGGGGCCGGGGAGCGCCAGGAAGGGTGGCGAGACCCCCCTGGCAGTGCTGGGCCCTTTGGTGCGAATTTTGTCTACTACGGCGTTGGGTGGGGGGAGTAAGGGGAGCTGCAAACCCCTTAAATTCTCAGGCCACAGAGTCCCCTTCACTGGGTAGCCTCTGATCCTTGGAGAAGCCATGCGAGCGCGGCCGGGTTCTCTGGGGAAGCGTGAGGATGGCCTGGGCCGTCTCCCTTCCCCAGCCAGAGGCCAGTGGGGAGGTGAGCACCGCGGGGCACACAGAGGCGGGCTCGGCCACCCCTCCTGCACAGGTAAAGTTCTGCACGCAGAGTCGCGTCCAGCCGGGCCTGGCCCCGTCCAGCAGGCTTGGGGGGGCTCAGCTCACGGGCAGCGCCCAGGGCGATTCCGGGGTGACCAGAGCCAGCCCATTACAACAAGGAGGCTGGGGTGGGGGTGGGAGGCACGACGACCGTGGCTCCAGGCACTCTACAGATGTGCTGTAGAGTGTCCAAAAGGAAGAGGTCCCTGGACCACACCCCACTTCTGGCCTCGGGTCCAGACCCACTGCACACTGGGGCTTCTCACGGGTGAAACTTTACCACCTATAAGGATGCCAAGCTTGTGGGAGGGGGTGGGGGTAAGGGGAGAGCTCGACACTCCCTGTACCACATCACTGACGTCTAAATATGACTCCAGATTCGTGATCTCCACGCATTCTGACAGGCAGATGAAGGTGACCTTTTTCTGTGATTGGAATGGCCTCATCGTCTAAACTGGTCCGTCCCACACAGGCCACGTGAAGCAACAGTAACTATTTAAGTCACTCTACACCTTACATGTCATGTGTGTAATTTAAAATAATACACCTGTTGCCATACACGTAATAAAAGCGGCAATTATCGTTAAAACATAGGTAGTGTTCATATTCAAATGCGACCATGAATTTTATGCTCGATGTCTCAAGCGTCATGTTCAAGCCAAATGATTCATTTAAAAATAAGAAAGGACAGTGCAACGTTTAGAGTGGGATCCACGTTAATGTACCACGACTGGTACAATAATCGTTGCTTTGATGTGGCCAACACTGGTCTGGCCGTGGAGGTGTTTTGTTCTCCATTCTCCTATTACACATGGTATCAGAGGTACGGAATTGAAAAAATCTCTCATAATGCTAACCAGACTACTCCCGTGACCATTTCAGAGGGAACACTGTCCCTGAGGAGGGACAGACAGAGCCAAGGGAAGGGGCCGTCAAGCACCACCCTAATTTGCTCTGGGTTTGCCTACCTCAAGGAAGCCTCCCCTCCTGGATCATCCTGGACCCACTGGATTCCTGGTAAGTCAACGAGCCTCCCAAGCCCGTGAATAGTCTAGTCTCCTTCATGAGGCCACTCATGTGACAGGGTTACACTAAGGCCCAGACTGACGCCACAGGTCAGTGTCTCACGAGATCCCCAAGCTTCTAGGTCTCTGAAGAAAAAAAACAAACAAACCATGGGGTGTCGAGGGTGGGAAAGGATGGAATTTAGGCCCCGCCCACTTCGCTGAATCAAATACCTGCTTGCCACACGCCCCTCCAGTTTAATCACGTTTTGGGAGGGTGAGTCAGAGAGGAGGTGGGCGGCCGTGCTTGGTTTTCCAGGCATATGGTACCCTAATGACCATGACTCCTCCCTCCACTTAAACCTCCCTGCACAGACACTCCTCCAAGCCCTGCACCCGGCCAGGCAAAAGGCCTGATTCAGAATCTCATCTCCTCACCGGTACCCGAGGCTGATCCCCTTCCATAAAAGGGGGAAGGAAATCATCAATGTGAACGCACAAAAACAGATGACTTCCTGAGTCACACCTGAGTTTGGGCGCAGAGTTTGGGTGCAGGGTAAGGTCAAGCTAAAAGCTCAGAGGTCACGGACCATAATTATCCCTCCAGAAGGGGAGCCTTCCTTACCCGTAGCCACGCAGCTTCTGAGGCCATGACAAAGAGCTGGGCCCGTCGAAACCCCGGAGGAGGAAACATTCCTCACCAGGTCTCCCAGCCCAAGCTTCCGTGACAGGCACCAGAGGAGTAAACAGACTAAGCCAATAGAAGCAAGCGAGAACTGGTTCCCCTGCTCTCTAGATGGCTCATGACATTTCAATTATGCTCAGCAAAATATAGCAAATTATTTATAACCTGTATGGAGCCTCCTGGCTTCACAGAAGAAATCTTAGTTGGTGGGGTTGAAGGAAGCTAGAAGTAGAGACCAGAGAAAAGTTCACAAGTAGAAATGAGCCCGTCCAAGGAGCCGTTTGTGTCCTGGATACGTAAAGCACGGCGACTTTTGTTCAGGAAGCCGTGAGGGTGGTGTGTTTTGGGAGGTGCTTACTTGCAATTTATTTCTCTGAATAATGTAGTGTTCATGTTCTGTCTCTCTCTGTCCCTCCCCTGCTTGAGCTCTGTCTCTCTCTCTCTCAAAAATAAATAAACATTGGGGCGCCTGGGTGGCGCAGTCAGTTGAGCGTCCGACTGCAGCCAGGTCACGATCTCGCGGTCCGTGAGTTCGAGCCCCGCATCAGGTTCTGGGCTGATGGCTCGGAGCCTGGAGCCTGTTTCCGATTCTGTGTCTCCCTCTCTCTCTGCCCCTGCCCCGTTCATGCTCTGTCTTTCTCTGTCCCAAAAATAAATAAACATTGAAAAAAAAAATTTTTTTTAATAAATAAATAAATAAATAAATAAATAAACATTAAAAAAGTGTGTTTAAAAATAAATAAATAAATAAATAAATAAATAAATAAATAAGGACTATTAGCTTTAAAAAAAAAAAAAAAAACAGGGGGTGCCTGGGTGGCTCAGCCAGTTCAGCGTCCAACTCTTGGTTTTGGCTCAGGTCATGACCTCATGGTTCATGAGTTCGAGCCCCATGTTGGGCTCTGTGCTGACAGCTTGGGATTCTCTCTCTCTCTCTCTCTCTCTCTCTGCCCCTCCCCCACTTGTGCTGGCTCTTCCCCTCTCTCTCTCTCTCAAAATACAGAAACTTAAAAAAAAAAAAAAAAAGAACAATCTCAGGTCACCACTTTGCCAGCCCCACCTTCGATGACTAAAGGAAGTCACTGGGAACAGAACTGCCCTCAAAGTCAGGAATGTATGACTATCAGGCCTCGCCAGGACACCTGGGCAAGATACCTGGCCATCACACATGTCAGTCACGGTCACCTTGTCTGAAAAGTTTAGAGGCCCAGATTCCTTTCAATACTAAATGACCACACTGCAGAGTTCAATACATTTTCTAGATGGTCACTTCCCACAAGAACAACGGGGAACATAATTAATAGGAGAAAAACCCCCAAAATAGATCACTGTGCTGTAGCAGGGTCTATCACACTGTGTAGACGTGGCCTTGGCGTGGCCAGGCTGCTTGGTTAATCAGACACAGGGATGTGAACACTCTTTCGGGTAAGAGAGCCACCCACCCGCAGGGGAGGACGGCCTGCGATCTCCAGATCGCGACTGCGGTGGGGAGCACCTCTCGGGGGGACGGAACGAGCGTGGGTCTTTTTTGAACCTAAACCCAGTGTCTCAAGGGAACATTCTGAGTCAGAAAACAAAGCGGGCCGACGGGCTGTTTGGAGCCGCGACTCCTGCTTTTCAAGTTCACGCTCAGCCTACCTGTGGTGAGGCCTGTGGTTGCCACACCGGGGCCGTCCGCAGGGGCCAAGTGTGCTCAGAGAGGCTCTCGTTACATAACCCTCGGCCACGGCCCCGCACGTGCATGAGCGGGCACACATGGGATCGCGCACACTGCGTGCAGGGGAAGGGGGTTAGAACACACGAGGCTGCAGGACAGTGACAGGGGTGAGCTCAGGGCCTCCTGCCGCACAGGTTAACAACAGCAGCATTTCACATTCCTGTGGTGGTATGAACCGTGTGCCTCGGGCGAAACAAAGGCTCCAAGAAGAGTAGAAAGCCAAGCGAGTTCTCAGTGAGCAGCTCCTACCCACAGGCCCTCATGACGCGGGGGACGTGGGGTCGGGCGGGGGAGACTCGGCACCTAGCGCTCCTGTGTCAGCTGTGAACGCCGTTCGGCCACTGCTGGTCGGTGTCCAGCTTGCTCCTGCTCCAAAGAATGAGCCACCTTTGACTCCAAAACCAGCTTTACCCGCTCCCCGCCCCCCGGCGCTCGCTCTCTCTCTCTCTCTCTCTCTCTCTCCACTTCTATCTCTCAGAGGCATTTTCTTCCCGCACCCTATGACCGGCCTGGCTTCAGGTAACCAGGGCTCATTCTAAGTCACCTTGTCGTCACCCCGAGGCTTTGTGTTATCTGTTGCCTGGGCCTGGAATGCTCCCAACCCTGATCTTCACGAAGGTGGCTCACAGAGGTCTCGGCCTCCGGGGAGCCCCTCAGAGGGGCCCTCCCCGGCCCTCCAACTCCAAGCATCCCCCCACCCCGCATTCTGTCACGTGACCCTACCCGGATTCCCTGCCTGGCACTTCACACCCCCTCATTTACTTCCTGTGTGTTTCTTTCTTGCCTGTCTTCTCTCACTAGCATGCAAGCTCCATGGACGTGGGCATTCTGTGTCTTGTTCACGGACTGTTTCGAGCCGCTACAACAGGGCCTTGCACACGGCCAGCGCTGGACGAGCGCCAGCTGAACGAGCGGACGGACAGTTGGATGAGGGAGGAGGGCAGAGGAGGCCATCCCTGCGAAGGGTCGCCGGCGCGCTGGGAATAAGGCGACGAGGACTCCAGAGTCCGCCAGGGAAGACGGACGTTTACCCAAACCAGTGTGGTGCAAGAGAAGCTCATGGAAGTGTGTGCAGCTGTCTGCTCGATGGGAACGTGAGGACAGTGTCAGGAAAGGTCAGAGGTGGCCAAAGGGGCAAAGGAGACAGAGGGGTGACGGGGAAGGCACCTTGTCGGGGAGCATCACGGCCAAGCAGCACGTCTGGGAACAGAGCGCAGGTTCCAGAGGAGCCCCGCGTGAAGCAGTGAGCGGTGCGAGGCCTGGATGGGGTGGGGGCACAGGCCAGTGCAGCCTGGAGGGGGGGGCACGTGCCAGGTCTCAAGAGAGCCTCGCGCACCAGTCCCCGTGCGCTGGATTTCAATCCTCCGAGAGGCGGGAGCCTAGAGGTATTTTTAAGTAGGGAGGTGACATGATGGGTTTTGACTTACAAAGATAGTTTGGGTGGCAGTGAAGGCCACGAGAAGAGAACAGAGCAGAGCACGTGGGTCACTGTCCCCTCTGGGCCTGAAAACGCCCGGATGTCAGCCCTAAGCAGCAACAGAGGAGGAGGAGTGGTCACAGACTGGAAGCTGTTAAAAGGGTGGAATCAGCGGGACTCAGTGACACTCAACGTGCGGGAGGTGACGGACAGGACGGGGCTGTGGTCTGTGTGGCCTCGCGCGTGGGGGTCGAGAGGCGGCCAGGCCAGAGTGGCCGGCTCATGTGAGGCCGCCTCAGGGCCGCCTGCCCAGCCAGTTATCTTCGGCCCTCGAGCCACCGTCGGTGACAGGTCCCTCTGATGGGTGCACATCCAGCCCACGACACGGGTGATTTATCTGCTCGTGAAGATCCGCATGTTAGGATTTCAGCGCGGCCGTTCTTGGAGGCACACGCTGGGCCACCGCCACAGAAGCATGACTACTGGTCTAAATATAGACGCGCCTGTCACCTCCGAGAAAGAACAGACCAGAAGCCATGGTTCCACTCACTCCGAGGAAGTTTTAAGGGGACAGAATTAAAGAACAAACCTTGCCCTGTCTCTCACGGCTGCGAATCGAAGCAGCAAACCACGACTGCCTCACCTGCTGCCCTCTCCTGCCCTCCTGGCTAACTCAGGCCCCAGAATCCTCCAGAGCAGCCCCCTCCCCGAGACAGTTCTCACAGGCCTCAAGGGATACCTCACAGGGGCCGAAGAGCGGGTACAGCTGGCCGGCTGGCCCAGTGCTCTGCAAGGACCCCACTTTATTCCTTCTGTCCTGCCCCCCTGCCCCGCCCGCCCCCCCCCCCCCCCACCCCCCCCACCACGAGAACAAATGCGCAATTCGGAAAGCGTGGGCTCTGGTACCTGGCTGCTTGGTTGAATCCTGGCTTTGCCATGTGGGAGCTGTATGACCCGGGCAAGTTGCCTAGCCTCTCTGTGCCTCCGTCTCGAAAATAATGCGGTAAAATAATGCGGTGATTAAATGAACGAAGCGCACGGTGAGGGCCCAGCAAATGTTCGCTGTCGTTCCCACGGCCGCCCCTCCCAGCCCTGGGGAAGCCTCGCTAAGTCCTAAGACAGGGAGCCCAAGCTGCGGGCATCCTGCTGCCAGCTCAGGGGCAGTGCCCTCCTTTTGCAACATGCTACCAACGGGGCCGACAGAGCAGGAGAGATGGCGTCCACTGTTTTCTGAAATTATCATTAGAATGTTCTTGACGGTTTATCCCCACAGCCCTCCCTTCTCACGCCGTCCTCCCAGGACTCACCGCAGTCAGAGTCTTCCGGGC